CGTTAGGCAAATCAAAACACGATTCACCTCAAAAGCCTTTGGGGGCAGTGTGTGGCCCCACTGGCACACATGGGGCTGCCGCCTTTCTGTTCCGTCATTCCTAAAGACAGTACTTATTTCTCCAGCAAGAGCAGCGCCAAAGTGCGTATGTCAAGGATGCTGGCTGCTGTGTGTGATGTTGTAAGCAGGAATAATATAATTGATCCTGTGTTTAACAGCTTCATTGTCTGAGCTCATGACAAGCTCTGAATGTGTAGAAAAAAACTGTATCCCATAGAAGCAGTTGCAGTTGCTCCATCTCCCTACCAGTTGATGTTGGGAAGCAAGAAGAAAACACATCAACTGCAGGAAGAAAACAGAACTGTCTTTATGTGAATAGGTAGCACATAGGTGCTTCTTCCCTCTATGAGGAATAAACTGCTTACATGCCCCATGCTGTCTCTGCAACAGGCAAATATCATTATCAGTGCTAAATGCACCAACATTCTTAAAAATACAGTTTGCAAACTGCAAACTGCACGATAAAGTGACATCCAATTTGTCCTGTGCTGCCAGAAGAGCTGCTCTTATGCATAGCATGTTGTGTGGTGTCCTGAAACACTCAGAAAGCAGCAAGAACATCTGTAGTTCCTACCAATTAATATTTCTGCACTACTTCTACCTGCCCCATCCTCTGCTTGTGCAGAACAGTTGAAAAATGAGTAGAAAACAGTTCACAAATGGCAGAAAAGGATTTCTAACTCGCAACCAGTCTTACCAGACTCCAGCCTTACCAGACTCAGTCATCCTGGACTGCCTTGCAGCCCTGCACAGCTCTGCCTGCAGCTTCCCTGCAATGCCATCACATCTTTTTGGGAAGGTGAAGCTTGGCTGTTTCCTCTTCATCCCCAGATCGTTGCAGGGACACGTGTTGTCAGTAGAAGGAAGAACATGGCAGCAGCTCAGAAATACTCCACTGTGTCTACAGCCTGCTCCCTGCACCTTGTTTGACAGGCTGCTCTACTCCCATCCAGGGACAATGCCAGCAGCAGTAGTGTGTCACCTTTCCAGTCATAGCCTGGAAGCCTTGAAGCACAGGTCAGTCAGTTTCTGCTTCCAGAGTAGTTACAGAAAACCCTGAGTTCTTTCTCTCTCTCTTTTGTCCCTAATCAGAGGAATCTAGCAGAGTTAGCCATTACAAAATTATGCCATGTTTATCACAACCTGGAGAAGATCACACAAGTCTCTGATCCATTCCCCACTGCTTGGAGAGTGACAGCCTACAGGAACTGGCTGGCAGCTGTCAGTGGGGATGCCTCCTCAGCACGCGGACATGTTGGCAGCAGTCTGGTGCTGCAAGATGAATCAGTACCTCTGTTAGGAGTGTGCTCTGGACAATGGCAGGCCTGGGAATTGTACGCAGCCACTCCTTGTGCCAGGCAAACTTTGAAAGGAAAAGCAAACTTGACTTTATTTGACTAAACCGCTTAGCAAATCAGCACCTTTTTCTTGGAGAAAGAAAAGGGGAATGCTTCTATAATATAATAATAATATGCCAGCTAGTTCTGAAACAAAGTGACTTTCACCAGTTTGAAAGACATTTGTGGTGGGTCCTTGGTTCCTGCTGCAGGCTGCAAGCTCCCCTGCCCAGATAGCCCCTAAAACAACTTACACAGCTCTCTGGAGGTTGAATGCAGCCTCTTACATTATCCTTGTCCTTTCCTTGAAATGCACATGGATTGGCAGTGGGAACTTCCACTCCTTTCAAGGATATAGGACCTTGCATTCATACAGGTTTAATATCTCTTCAGAGCTGTTCATACACAAGCTGGATGTGAGGACAATGAATGAAGCTTGTTAGCAGTTTGATACAAGGCAAATACGATGGCAGACAGACATGGGGATGAAAGTGCATTTGACTGGGTAAACTCAGCATGCCAGAATGATGTACAGTGCTGGCAGTGCTGGTGCTTTTGCCTGTTGCACTTTTGTTCCCTGCTGTGAAACATGGCTAAGGAAAGGCTTCCCGAGCCTCTGGCTGACACCTCCTTAAAGCCTGTTCAGCCCCAGGTGTGCAAAGCAACCTCTGTTTCCAGGCAGCCAGATGGCTAGCTGCAATCTAGTCACTCTTTAATTAACTTTGCATTTTTTCCTCTGTGGGTTGTTTCTGGGAAGAAGGGAGCTGACAATATGTTTGTTTACATGAGATTGGCACTTTGTTGGGTCTATACTAAGAATTTTGAATTGTCTTAGGGTTTTTCTATCCCCATAAATGGAGAATCTGAGGGGATTTCTGGGATGTATCAGACAAAGTTATGTAAATACAGAGATTTACTGCAAGTTATATGCAAATAGATGTGCACACAAAATGAAGCTGATGAGGGCAAACTAATCTGAGACCTTGGTTACTGCACACTGTTGAGATGCTGCAGTGTATAATTAACTTTTTACTGAACTACAACAAACACTGTCGTGCAGGAAGCATAAAGTTACACAACATACATACAACAGCTCTCAGATGAAAAGCTCAAGATGTATGCCTCTGCATGGCAGAAAATGCCAACCAGGATTTGTCATTTGATCTAAATCAAACAACAGAAAGGTGTCAAGAATCTGCATTAGGAATTAGCACCTAAAATACCCAGCTATAAAACTGGCAGGTAGCAAGAGAAAAATATTTGTGTGTAAGTAACAGACCAAAAGTAAATTTAGCCTTCAATCCAGATACGTCAACAGCTTTTATATTTTTTTAACTAGCTGCCCCTCACATCAAGCACTCATGTCACATTCTGTCAGGACCCCAGATAAACACCAAGTCAGCTAGCAAGTGCCACGCTCCTTGTTCGAGGTCTAGAAAAGAGCAAATACAAAGGAGGATGGGGAAACTGTACCAGCTCACTGTGTCTGAGCATACAAAAGGCAGGAAGGATTAAAGAGAAAGCTAAATAGCAAAGAAAAAAGGATTGTTGGTGATTTTCTCTGCCAGAATTAGCTAGGGACGGCAGGCAGAAAATGCTACAGGAGAGGGAACACGTCAGAGAAGCGAAGGAGATGAGATTTGAATAAAAATAGTCTTAAAGGTAAAGGACGCACATCTCTCATCAGTGGGAGATCTCCACAGAGTACTTTAAACATTTCTTTGAGGCAGTGCTGCTTCTGACATCAGAACGTATTGCAAAGCAAGGCTTTGGGACAAACTTTGTAAGTATTGCAGGCTATGATTTCACTGCAGAGATAAGACAAGGGCAGAACTGCTGTGAAAGTATGCCTAGAAAATCACAAAGTTGTACTCTGCTATTCTGAATCAGAGTTGTTGTGTTTTTTTTTTTAAATTATGATTTGTTGAATCGTATTTCAGATGAGCAAGCAGAGTCCTCCCCCTGGTGGCAAGCAGAAACAAAAATGCAGCAATGAGTTTCTACAGCTGCGGTAATCAAAAGCTACAAATGAAATAAGACAGGATCTATTTTTTATTAGGTCAACTGACCCAGCTAGGGAAAAAATACTAATCTGCAGAACACAGATCCTTTTTCTGGACTTACAGATAATTACTTACTTTGAAGGCTGATATAACTTGAGAACAGTTTCTGAGTTCAACTTGTTGGTTATTTATCAGATAATTTCCAAGAGAAGCAGAATATAAAACCTGAGGAGTAACTTTTAGTAGCTGAACAGGGTAATTGCAGTGTGCAGCAATCCCTTTATCTCCACCACGTCCTTGTCTTTTATCGCTCAATTGAGATTTACTGACTAAAATCCCTTTAAGGCAGAATGTTCTGGAAGGTGAAATTCCTAATGCTACTAACAGTAAAAATGGACTCGGTAGGCAAGTGGGTTTACTGTATCCAGCTGTCTTCCCCAGTAAATGTCCTCAGGTAGATTTTCAAATGTTATCTGTAGAAAACTCTCTGTTGTTGGAAGTCAGTGCAAGTGCCTTTCAGACAGGATTTTTTTCCCTTTAGATGAAGGGTTTCTGTGGACGAGGGGAGAGCAGCACGTGTGGTTTATACTGGCTTTAGTAAGGCTTTTGGCTGTCTCCCATAGCATTCTCAGAGATATGGATTTAGTACAGGCCAAGTAAATGGACAGTGAAGTGAACTGAAAACTGGCAGAACTGCTAGGCTCAAAGAGATTAGTCGATTGTGGAGTAACCGAGGTGTGGAGTAACCTTTGGCAAACTAGCAGATGATACACAACTGGGGAGGGCAGATGATAACCAGACACTTGTACTGCTGTTCAGAAGGACCTCAACAGAGAAAATGGGCAGAGAAATGGGCAGAGAGTTATCAGGAAGTTCAGCAAAGAGAAATGCAAAGTTCTTCACGTGGGAACAAAGAACCCATGGGTACAACAGGTTGGAAAGCAGCTTTGCAGAGGACATCAGGGTCCACATGAAGAACAAGCTGAACAAGATCCAGCAATGCACTCATACCAGAAAGTCAAGCTAGATTACTTCTTCCCTTCTATTTTTCTTTTCAACTCCAGTTGAAAACCACTGGATATTAACAACTGTTTACATGGGTGGATAGTGATAGGACAAGGGGGAATGGTTTTCAACTAAGACAGGGGAGGTTTAGGTTAGATACTAGAAGGAGGTTTTTCACACAGAGGGTGGTGACACACTGGAACAGGTTGCCCAAGGAGGTTGTGGATGTGGAGGCATCCAAGGCCAGGCTGGATGTGGCTCTGGGCAGCCTGCCCTGCTGGTTGGTAACCCTGCACATAGCAGGGGGGTTGGTGGTCCTTTTTAACCCAGGCCATTCTGTGATTCTGTGATATTACCTTAACTTCAACAACATACATACTATAGGAATAGCTGAATTATTATTACATGAAAAGCATCTGTTGTCTTTTAATTACACAAAGGAGAAACCTTCAGCTGTGACACTCAACACTAATAACCACTGCAATGTAAACAAAAATATATTTGCCAGTCCCTAAGAACAGAAAGCTATGTTGCTCACAAAAAAAAAAAAAAAAAAAAAAAAAAAAAAAAAAAAAAAAAAAACCTTTTAGCATGCTTATGTTTAAAAAGTTTTAATTCTTCACCCTGGTACAAAAATACAGTACAATGTGATGGCAAGGCATTCACCAGAAAACATTCAAAGAATAAAAGGGAATTCCCCGTAATGCTTCAACATAACCCACCTTCACTTGATGAAACAATCAAAAGGTGAGTGCACAAGAAAGAAGTTCAATTTCTGCCCAGGGGCAAATAAAGATGAATCACACAGAATTCTACATAAAAATATGTTTGCAGAGCTCATGACTTCACATGCTACTTGAACATGGATGAAATTTTACTCTACTTGGCTTAGTGGCAGAATTCATGGTTTGGGAGGTCTACAAAACACGTGGCCCAGGAACATGCCCATTCATAGGAACCCCAGTAAAAACAATGGGATCACATAATACGAGTGAGAAATGAGAGATCCACCCATGATTAAGTGTCAAAATGCTGGCTACTTCCAATTCTTTCAATTATGCTGTTTGTCTTCAAATGAATGTTTTGTCCTACAAACCTCCCTTTTAATATCAAACATTAGTGGTTGCTCAAACACACTAATTGATGTGTTTGCCATTACCTGGTTGGAAATAACCATTATAGTACACACTGCCAGGCAGAGGAGGAGATAACACTGTATCTGATGCATGTGTGTGAACTCCAAACAGGGTTTAACTTAACATTATTGACAGGAGAATTACGTCCCTCCAGTGCATCTACATTCTTGGTCTGTTTAACTGTTTCCTTTGAGAGTACTGAAGTGATGGAAAACCATAACTGAGTGTTTTCCATTATAGTTCATCTCCCAGGTGTTTTTGTTTGAAAGCATCACCTGTTAGCTTCTCCTGGGCCTCTTTCATCCCTTGGATAACTGAAAGATCAGAGAGAAAGCAACTATTAATCTCAGAACAAAACTGTCAAGGTGCCACACTAATGAAGATATTTTAAACCAACACTTACAGAATGCACATCTACAAAGCAACCTAAGGCAAAAAATAAACAACACCAAAACGAAAAAGCCCTGTGCTCTTCTCCCGCCTCTTGGTGAGTTGCATGATTTTCCATGTGACAAAAGGAGAATGCTTAGGTTCTACAAACATTTTGTAGGTTTTAAAGTGGATCATAACTCTAAATATGGTTCCTCAAAGCATGAAGAGCCACTCACACATGCTGTAATTCACAGCTCCCTTACACTGTGAAGTATAATTTTTCTCCACTTAAAAATGAAGGTGCTGTCCTTCACTCAAGACACACCTACAGACCCATCTCACTAACAACGTACTTCAAGTTATTTCTCACATACCTTGATCAGCATTGGTATAGAAATACTTGTAGCTGGGGTTTCCTTTCTCATTTATGATTTCTGGGTGGACTTTTCCACTGGGATCTTTGAAAAAAAGAAATCAAACAGGAAATTTGGGTGGTAACAGTAAGAATGCAGTCCTGTGCGTGGGTTCAACAGCTGCAGATGCCTTACCCATGAAAAGGATTCTGGGAATGTAACCTCCATCAGGACTGAAGGCTTCATCCTTCGGCTCTTCATCATCCTACAAAAGCAAGACAGAAATGAGGCCATGTGTTAGCATGTAATGTAATGTAATAAAACACAGCACTTGTTTTAAAGAAACAAGCCTTCGGGTTCCAGTTACCCTGAACAAATTACATCTTGAACAGACAACAGGTATTGCACTCTTTCCACTTTTAAATGAAATAAGGTAATTTCCCCTAAAGAAGTAAAATTTGTGAAATATCAGTGTGCATTAAACACCCTGCTTTGGTGCAGGAATGTCTGGTACATTATGAGAGAATGAATATAAATCCCCTCCCTGTGGCAACAGACAAACAACATTAAACTGTTCAAGAGGCAGCAGTGGAGAGTCAGGTTTATCAATGCAATTAAAGTAACTACAGTGAAGAAAAATATTTTCCAAACAATTGGCTCTATCAATCAATCTTGCATATCTCCACTCAGGAGTGCAAGACTTAGGATATAGAAAAGAAACAGATTCAACCAGTCAAGCAGGATTCAAAATGCTTTATTACTAAGCAGTAATATAGGTACAAATGAAAGTGTGGCCTACCTCAAGGTTGACCATTACAAAATTATGAGCAAGTTCAGAGATCTCCTTAGACTCAGCGAACTTTGGCTTCAAAGCTAATTAAGAAAGAAAAAAATAAAGAGAGAAAGATATGGAAAGACAATGGAAAATATTTCAGGTTTTCAGGTAGGCAGAAAAATCTCTATTCCTCCCTCTAGAGAGCTGGTACTTTTCAGTGAGCATAGGGAAATGGAATGTATGCATCAAGTTGCTCAGGCCAGGCTCAGAACAGCAGAGCAGTGATCCCTGCTGAGCAGCCACACAGTGAAGCTTAACCATCAGCCATATGTCATCACTTTTGAACTAATGGAACAGAAACAAAAGCTTGCTGCAAACCACCATTTCTCAACCAGCCTGTTCATCTTAAGCCTAGTCGTAATGATCAGCATGTTCCTTTGCAATACTGAAAGAGACAAAGCCCAGCATCCTGAGATCCGGTGGCTGAAAGTAAGGTAATTTGCTCTTAACTCTCAATTCATTCATTTTCTACATTTTTTTTTCTAGCAAAGTGCAGGAAAACTGCAGCCACTGTAGACATGCAGCTGTTACTTGACTGGCATTTACAAAGGCTGGCTTTTGGCAGCACTATTAGCTGAAGTGGTGAGATACTACACTGCTCTGAACAAAATATAAATACAGCTAAGCACATTTTGAATGCAAAGTTCACATTTGTCACGTTACACAATTTGCATGCAAAAGTTCACCAGGAATTTCATCAAGCTCCAGAATTAAATTCACTCACCTTTGCAAGCTCCACACCAAGATTTGTGGATGATAATCATAAGAGGCAAACCACTGCAAAATAAGGGGAAAGAAAGGAAAACATGTCAGATAGCTTACATGAAGCCTCTCAACTATAAGTTCTATTGTTTGTACATTTTGAGAGTCAAGGGCACTACAAAGGCTTAATATAATAGAAAATGCAGAGAGATTCCATTGTATTCTAAGGTTTTGCTGTCTTGCAAAAACTTCCCAATCTTAACAATGCATTAGAATAGTTCATTAGAAATGTCAATCACCAACCACTCCAGTAGAGAGGAGATGTTCCCTTTGGAAGGGTTGCTCTCATTTGTTCAGATTTGCATAGAAGCACAACTGGTGATGTGTTTCGTAAGGAATTAGCAGTGGTTAGCCACTCCAGCTACGTAAGAGATCTCAGAAGGGATTTACACAGCTGCTTAACATAATCCACTGCATGACAGTCATCCATCAACCCCTCTCCCCACTACTGTCTGCATGTTTCAGACACTTCCTGCTACTGCCTCCGTGATCAAGATCCTCCTTTGAGCAGTAATCACACACACTAAACTGGCAAGCCCTTCAGCTTCCAGGCTAATGGCCCTTATCTTAGTATGCTGAAATAAACCTGTGACAAGTTTGAGAACCGAGAAGGAAGGAGTCTGTGTGGAACTGAAGCCTAAATTAAGCGCAATGTAAAATGACAAAAGGTAGGAAGCTGACTTCAGTGAATACAGAAAGGTCATTTGTGAAGGACAATTCAGAGTACTGAGTGTTTCAGGTACACCATAGGAATGTTATTCATTCCTCTTCCCAAATAATTCATTAGACAGTCACTACCTTTACTACCTGGATGTTGATTTCATCACCTAATGTATGTTTTATTTAACCTTGTTCCGAAAAGCCTCTTAGCATTTCACCTTCTAGTCAAGCTTAACAAGTTTGAATTCTCTGAGCTCCTTGGTAATGTACTCAGGTTACTTCATGTGATTAGACAGAGGCTTTAAACACAAAGAATTTCTCATATTTACTGCTGTAAGTGCTTGTGATTCAATTAATCCATCTTTACAGCTCTCAATATCTTGACTATTATACCTTTCACCTTAACAAGAAAAAAGTGACATACCTATAGGTGATTTTTATTGCTGTTGAGCACATCTAGTAGTACAACACTTCACACTGGCAAAAGCTAACTAGTACAGTAAGTTCAAAAAGACTAAGAACAAGGAAATGGTTTCTCTTATCATGAAATCCCTTAAGCTATAGAAGAATATCCAAGGGCAGCTAGAGCAGTAGCTTCCAGAGCATTAAGAATAACCTAAAATCAGGTTCTTCTTTTAGCTGAAGATTGGTAAGGAAGGAAATCCCTACCAACATTAAGTTTCAGCCTTCAGAACCAGGAAAGGGCAGAGAGGAAGCAATAAACATTTACAGTAGTGCAACACAAGTCTGCCATTTGTAACTGAATGATATGCTGTCATCTTTACACAGGACTTTGTTTGCAGCAAGCAGCAAGAATACACATTTCCCTAGCAAAGCTCTTTTCACATCCGTGTCCCCACCCTAACAATGCTTTTTTTTTCTTTTTTTTTCTTCCCCTCTTCTCCCCCCCCCGTTTCTGGGAATTAAATGCTGAATTAAATCTGGAAAACACACACTGCTCTTATCATCAAGGATCTTCACGTCAGAAGAGGTCAGAAGTAGCTGCAATTGGTACTGCACTGCACTATCGATTGATTTCCTATGCAGATTTTAAATGCAAGTGCTCAGTCTTACAATATAAACTCTTAGCCAGGATGAAATCACACAAGTTTTAGAGATACTGCATGTGCTTCCTCAGTTTTATTCTTTTTAACTGGAAAAGTAATGCTGTTTACATAAAAACATTTCTGTAATCATTTTCACATTCTGAAATGGCAATGTCCACTTAGCAACCAGTACATCAGATACATGGACAAATCACTGAAGCAACTCTTCTTGCCCCACTTACCATCTCCTCCCAGATAGCACCACACAAAAAAAAAATGAAAGCAGACTCTGACACTTATTTGCATGAGGGATGAAGCATCCACCAGAATGTGAAACATATGGACAGGCCAGACATGTGGCACAGTAAAGACTGAAATCAGCTGAAGCTAAATACAAAAATAATTACCCAGTCACAACCAGTGCAGACTTTGAGGACTGGCCAGAGCACACTGCCATCATACTGCATCCTCTCAAAACAAGCTCAAGAGCACTCATAAACAATTAGTGTTTTTAAAAGCTTTTAATGAGGACCTTGCAAAAAAAAGCCACAGCAAGTTGTTTCAATAAAACAGTTTAAGATTAAGACTGTTCCATCTAAGGCACATGTTTTATTGTTAAACTTGAAATGAGAGATTTAAGTTTCCTAAGCCAGCACCCTGCTTTTGTGCAGAGTTTGCAGATCTATCTGTTGGGTTCAATAGGATTTTGAAAAACGGTTATGTCCCAAAAATACAGCCTCTTCCAGTCCAGGAACTGAAGTCCCCCTCTGCAGTTTGATACATACGAAGGCAGCCTTGGAACAGCAGGCTTCTTATTCAAGAGACAGACATGGCAATGAGGAGGGCAGGAGTTCTCCTTATGTTCACCGCTTTGAAGCATTTATGCTCAGTCGCTACATTAGTATTGAGGTGCAGGTCTCCACAGGAGACTTCAGCTGTGCGGGGATGCAACAAGCAAACAAGAAAGACATGGGGAGAGTGCAGTAGAGAGGACAGGAAGATCCTACAGATCCTCTTAGGAGTACAGCTGCTCCAGCACCATGGTACTGACTTTCTCAGCACTGTCACGGGCTGTGCTATGTGACACACGCATCACATAGTGCTGAGGTGCACGGCAGGAGGGTTCCTACAGCTGCAAGCACTTCGGGACGGAAGGAGCCGCGCCTCACTGGATGCTGCGGCTCAGGTACTGCAGGAACATGCCGGCCAGCTGCGCCAAGTTCTCATCGCTGGGCTGCATCTTAGTGTAGCTGATGAACTGCCTGCGGAGCCGGCTCAGCTCGGCCAGGCTGACGGGCCGCGGCAGCACCAGCCCCTCCTCCACGCCGGGGACGCGCACCAGCTCTCCAGGCTGCGCCCCGCTCCTCTGGGCGGCCACGAGAGCGGCCACCACGTCCTGCGTGGCGCGGTCGAGGAGGTGCAGGAAGTCTCCGGACTGCAGGGGCTGGCTGCGCGTGGCGCGGTGCGGCGGCGGCGGAGCGCTCTCGAATAGAGCCGCGCGGATGTCGGCCAGCGGCAGCGGCTCCTCGCCGTGCACGGCGAACAGCGGCCGGTCCCAGCGGTTGCGCGGGTCCGGGGCCTCAAAGGCCGGCTCCGCGGGGCCGCCGCCGACGCAGTGCAGCAGGCAGCGCGCCGTGCCCGCCTGCCGCGCCGCGCAGTACAGCTCGTAGCGGATGCTCCGCAGCTCGTTGCTCGCGTCCACGATCACCACGTCGCGTCGGCTCAGCAGCCGCTCCACCTCGGCCCGCAGAGCCGCCCGGCCGCCCTCCCCCTCGGCTACTACGTGCGCCCGCCGCTCAGCTCCGCCCAGCGCGTCCCGCAGCTCGGCCGCACGCCGGCTCTTGCCGCTGCCCGGCGGCCCGCACAGCACCACCAGCGGCATCGCGCGCTCAGCGCCCCGGCACCGCCATGCTGACCCGGAAGTGGCCGCCACCACTTCCGCTCGAGCGGACCGTCGCTATGGCGACGCGGAGCGCCCCGGGCCTGCGCCGCAGCCCGCCCTCCCGGGGGTTCTGCGCAGAACCTCTCATCCTGCGTAACGCCTGCTTCCTCCGTGCCTATTGCTAACTCTGCTTCACCGCAAAGCAGAGCCAGAACTATTCCTGCGAAAACTGCGACTGTTTTCGTACAGACATGTGGAATACGTGCCGCTTACAAATAAATATCCGCTTACAAGCGCTCATCAGGCTGAGCAGTGCCCTGCATTCACGTGACAGCACCTTGGGCAGCCAGAGGTCTCCCGTCCATCAGTGCACAGTTACAAACACAAGAACTGATACACAGACAGCTTCATTTCTCATGTTTTGACACAAGAAGATTCTGAGAGAAACGTAAAAATGACTTTCTTTAAATCTTTTCACAGAGACGGTGTTAGAGTTTCAACCAATAAAAGGTTCTACTTTAATAACTTATCAGTTTGTTCCTTAGTAACAAAGTATCTCACATCGAGGTCTCGCATCCATACGAGCACATCCATGCTGACAGATGCAGTGAGCACTGATGAGTTCAAGGGGACTGAGTAGCCTTTAAGCCTCAGTTTGTGGGTTTCTTCTTTGGAAACGTGACAGAACCTCAATCATTGAACTGAAGTGATTAAACACGGGTGATTCCTCAGCAACGTTAAGAAAAAACTATTTATTTCTCTAATAAGCTGTAGGGATCTAAGCAGTCTCCTGTACCTTTGTTAATAATTTGTATTTTCTGTGGTTAAATTTAGGATTGGTTAGCATCGGTACAGAATCTGGGTGAACTTTTAAAGCCTTTTTTTCTGTATTCATAAGCAAGTAACATACCTGGCTGCTGCCTCTTTCTTCCCATCTTCTAGTGTTCTCCAGTGAATGTGATCTCCAAAACCTGCCAGAAAGGAGGTTTTAGAAATGCTGCATAGTTAACACATCATCAGAAGAAAACAACCCTCCGGAATATTTTCAGCTCATAACATATTCTTTTTTAAAAACGAAAATATAATTGCAGTCCTCGAAAGACTTCTGTGAATACTTACAACCTACACAGTTTTATTGAGGAATCCCACTGAAATTAATTAACAAAAACAAATCACACACTCATGAATATTCACAGTTATGCAAAGGACAAAAAAAATTCCCCAAGCAAAGCTTAAAACTGAAATGCCTTCTAATTATTCCCTTTTGTTTCTCAACCTATGAGCATTTATTAACTGATTGATGACAAATTAAACATGTCGCCATCTGGCTTCCTAAATCCCAGTGAATGGGAGCAAACATCAAATACATCTAGACCAATAAGTGATTATTAAATGCTCTAAAACTATTATGCTAAATATTACCACTGCTGATAATTGACATCAAAGACTAAGAAGGAACACTGCTATGCAGGTTTCTGAGTTTTGCAGTGACCGAACAACATGGGAAATACATATCCAATAAGCAGGTTGTTCTGTCAGCTAATATGCTAAGAACAGGAAAACAGAGACTGCCATTTTTTGGTCACCACCATCACATGAAGTGCTGAGATGGAGGAGATCTGAGATAAGGGAGCCTTCTCTGAAGAATTCCTCAGAGGTCCCGTCGCTGCAGTGACATGGGCTATGCTGAAAGGCAAATCTCAGCCATGGCTTTCCCCTTCCCATAGCTGAGGGCTGGGATAACTTAGCGACATGGCACGGGCCATATCCTCACCAAGGGGACAATCTGGGGAGCTACAGCACAGGATTAGGAGCCACAAGCTGCCCAGTGCTGACACCATGGCAGGCAGCACCTCCAGTAAACACCTGTAGCAAAGAAACTGCGGAGAGTGGAACAAAGCCCTATGGTACTTTCCTTCAGCATCTGGCAAACTGCAGCTGCTGGCACAGTATTTTTATGACCTGTGCTTATCTCCCAGTACAAACTACTGTGAACACATATGACACAACACATCAAATATTTAGTCCAGCTACCAGCAAGGCATTGACGTCCAAGCTTGCATGGGCTGAGGGGAGCTGGAAGCCATAAGGCTAATAGGTCACATTTACTCAGAATACAGGCACGTCGGGTATTTCATTCAAAGGCCATCATGATGGAACAGGGACAATCCTCTGTTCGAAGAGCCTCGCCGGGTAGGCTCAAGGCACTCCCTGCAGCCCTGCAACGAACATCCGCCTTCAGGGCAACCCGCTCAGAGCGCGACCACCCCGGGTGAAGCCCGAAGGGATCCGAGCCGCTGCCCACGATAAGCCCACGAGGAGGGCAGGCCGGGCAGAGGAAAACCGTGCCAGGGTGACCAGGAGTCGGCGGCGGGGCTGCTGCCCCAAGAGCCCCAGCCCGCCGAGTGACCCCGCGAGCCCTCACGGCAACGCCAGAAGCTGAGAGCAAAGCCCGAAGGAAACGTTTGCTGACCCTTTCCGAGCCCCTCGGCGGCGGCGGCGGCGGCGGCAGCCATCAGCAGGCACAGGCAGAGGACGGAGGCTGTGGCGGGATGAGCCTTCATGGTGTCAGCGACGGGCCCTGGAGCTCGAAGAGGAGTTCGGAGCAGCCCCAGGGATCTTTTTCCCTTTCCTTTTTTTTTTTTTTTTTTTTTTAAAGCCCAAGAAGTGACGCAAGGCGGATGTGGGCGGTGCCGCCAGGCCCTCCGGGGGCCGCCATGTCAACCGCGGAGCGGACTACAACTCCCAGCATGCACCGCGGCCCGGGCGCGCGCCGCTCCCGCCCCCGCCGCTATGCAAATACTGTCGGCTTCGCCGCCAATCCGTGGCTGGGGGCGGGTGGCTGAGTGCCGTCACGTGGCGCGAAGCTTCCTTTCTCTGTGCGGCGCTCTTTCCTTCTTCGGCCGCCATCTTGTTCTCACCGCGTGTTGGGCTGCGGAGGGGCCGCCGAATTCAGGTGAGAACGCCTCGCGCCCGCCGCCCGTGCACAGCCGTGAGGGGTCGGGCGGGCCGGCTGTGCGGCGCCGGGCTCCGTCTCGCTCCCGTGAGCCGGGCCCTGTTTGAGGTGCAGAGGACGGCGGTGAGGCCGTGCCCCGGGCTCGGAGCCGCAGCGTCCCGTGTCCGTGGGGCCGCGCCGTCCCGCTGCCGCTTAGATGTGCGGCCTTTGTCCTCCCCGCCCGCAGCGCCGTGCCGGAGCCCTCCGGCCCTCTGTCGCTCCGGCGCGGCGCGCCTGCCTTCGTCCTTCCGTCTCTGCGGCCTCTCGGGGCTGATCTCCTGCGGCAGAGGCGTTTTTCAGCCCATACCGAGCCTTCGTGTCTTCTGGCCTTTAAAGGTCGCGCTTGGCCCACGGCAGAGCCCGGATGAACTTGTTAGCCTTGGGTTGGAGCGATGGCTGCCGGAGGTCCGAGCCGGTAATGTGGTGCTGTGTGAATCTCTTCGGTTTGGAGCAGCTCGTTAGCTGCAGCGGTCTGTGGTAGGTTTGTTGTTTGGGAGCAGTGCATCGGGGGCTCAGGGTGAGCCTCCCTTGGGCTCTGCTCAGCACAAAGCCGCATTCCTTGGGCGGTCCGTACCGGTTGTGCTGTGAGTCAGTAGCAAGGTGGGTCCGGCGGTGAGGTGACAGACTTAGACTTGGAGATTTACAACTGAGGCAACATCAAACGTAGCGTTGGTTTGCGTCATTGTGGTGCAGATGCTTCTTCCGCGGAGCTGCTTTGTGTTATTTACACGGTGTGTTCTTGTTTGTGTATTTGCTTGCGTTATTTCAGTGATTTTTTTCTTAATGTTTTGGTAGTTAACTTGTATTTGTACCTCATTCTTTAGACACAACACTATGAATCAAGAAAAACTAGCCAAGCTTCAAGCTCAGGTCCGAATAGGAGGAAAGGTAAGAAAGCTACGAGAGCTGTACTTCTGTGATTGCATCTGTGGGCTCAGAGCCTTCTCACGAGAGGGCAGTTAGAGGCCTGAAAAAGGGATTTCTTCATGCAATGTGGACCTGAAATGGTCTGCATCTTACTACTACCTGAAAAGCAGCTTTATTTCACTTCACAGCTACTGAATAAGTACTGAATAAGTAGTTCCAGTTCCAGGCGAATTCTAAATCAGCGACTTGTTGTGACCGGTGAATGCTCAGTTGATGCTTACCTGTTGCTTGTTTGAGCTCTTTTTCTTCTGCATGTTGGGAAGTTTCTTCTCTAGTATCAGCTCCAGGGTTTATCTGACTGTGCACTGAGCTCTTTCTTTTATCTGTGCCAGCCAGTGTGTAATATGACAAAGCATATGGACAATTCCATGTGAGTATTCATTTCCTAACAGTAGACAGGGGTCTGGGGGAGCTTGCAAATGAGAAATTGTAGAATTGCTGTCTTTGGGGCAGTTTAAAAATGTTAACTGCTTACATAGAAAAGCGTGGATTTTTAGATTTGATTCATCTCTTCTGAAATGAAGTTTTCAGACAGCATTTTTATATGCTGCTTATAAGTTAATATGTTTATAATTCAGCTTTGGGGAAAAAGAAATACTATTGCTGTGCTTCTTCTATCTTTTACACTTGAGAAAAATGTAAAGATTGGGACTGGCGGCTAAAACTGTAAGTAAAGGAAGTTGAGAAGTATTTTCTGCTACAGAGCATTACTACAGCTCAAAAAAGAGATGTTGCTGAGTGTGAAGTGACTTTAAATTGAAAGTGTTGTGAGAATTTGAGTGTTGCAGGCTGTTCTCTTGATTCTTTTTCAGGGAACAGCTCGCAGAAAGAAGAAGGTGGTGCACAGAACAGCTACAGCTGATGACAAAAAACTTCAGAGTTCACTCAAAAAACTGGCAGTAAATAACATTGCTGGCATTGAGGAGGTATAGTGATACTGTATCCTGTGTGAAATTAAATTCACTGTGGTGATTTGGTGTTGTTTTTCACTTTCATTTTCTTTTTCAAACTCAAATGTCCGATTACGTACAGGTGAAGTTACTTGATTTTATTTAAATTTGTCTCATTTACATTAATGTGCGCATATCTAGAAAGAGAAGGGAAAAGGTTGTACTGTCCAGAAAGCAAGCATAGGAGGTAGTGAGCTGCTTGTCATACGTGCCTTTTGTGTTAATTGCAGAACAAGAGAGCTCTTGATTCTTAACCTCTTGAACTGAAATGACCAAATTTTAACAGTAGGGCAGTGAGTGTGTATTTATTGCACAAGCACACGCAGTTTTTATGTGCTGCAGAACATGAAGGAGGGAATCAACAACCCTGGAGTAGGAACTTAACAAGTCCATGTTACCGAAACTGGATGCTCTTACTTTGTGAAAGTAAAACCAGAATTGTTTCTGGTAGAGACAGGAGACTGGTGTTTCTTACAGTACTGGCAAAACTCTACAGAAGCAGCTCCTGTATTGCAATGGAAGGCTTCAGGTATTCCGTACCATTTTTGCGTGTATTAATTTTTCAGGATAAAATAAGAAGTGGAGTACAAAACTCTTTCCAAAATGCTTTAGAGACTGTGATGCTTATATGTGGGAGGAGGTGTTCCTTCATACTGAGCTCCATATTACAGCACTGCTTGGTTGAAAAAGCATAATATTTAATCTGTGATTAATTAAAGCAGGGTTACAAGGTGACCCAGAGGTCTCTGTGCACTCTGAAGGCAAATGGAGATTCAGTAGAAGCCTGGGTTGCCTGAAAGCCTTCATACCATTGCTGCAGAAACACTTTTAAATATGTCTGTTACTGGAGTATGGTGTGTTAGAAGCTGTGCAGACAAACAGTCTTTGTTCTTTTTGTCCCCCCACAGAGCATAAAATCTTCATTCAGGCACAGTTAAGACTTAAAAATGTGTTGACATGGGGGAAGACTGTTCAAAAGTCTTTAACCTTGACAGATTGGTACCTAATTACAGTATATTGCTGTATTACTCAGGTAGACTCAAATTGGCATAAATACATAGAAGCTGGAGAGGATTGTAACGTGGAGTCAAACATAGGCAGAGAATTTTGTGATTTGTTTTGAGGAGACTTTTGAGCATGACTGGGCTTAAAGCATTCATCACTTCCCCTTAGCTACGTAGGAAAGAGATGCACCTTTTCTCCAAGTAAGAAAAAGCTCTGATCAAAACATATTTTGAACCTTGAAAATTGATAACTTCCATGTTTTAGATGTATTCTTCAGTTGGCAAATTTGTTTTGTCTCTGTAACCTCACAAAAAAACCCTCACCTAATAAACTCAAAATTCAGAATTGTTATTAACAGATTGCATCTGTTTGTGTAAGTAAGCTCTATTCTTTTTTGCAGATGAAATTATTTTCCTTATAACTGTAGCTCAGTCATGCCCAGGAAAAAAAAAAAGGAACTTCAATCTCTGTTAAAGGGGGGGGGGGGGGGCCGCCAAAATAAGACCTGCTGAAAGGTATCAGTATGAGCTTCAATAGCAGGAGCTAAGCAGGCAGCTGTGCTGGCTGTAAACTTAATCCCTGGTGATTCAGAATGCCAGGCAGGGGAGCAGCACCATTGTATGTTGTGCTTAGGCTCAAAAGGGTCATCATAGAATTACTGGGAGAGCACAGAAGCCAGTTTGAGTGCAGCTAATTTACAAATCTGCAGTGCTGTAAGAGAGAAGTGAGGGGAAAATCTCGGCGCTGGGCATTTTCAGCAAGTAGGCCAGGTTGTGAGTCTTACTTAGGCTTTTGCCAGTTCTGCTGCAGAAACAGTGATGTTTTCCTGAGAGGTGACACAAATAGCTGGGAATGGCAGTGTCTTAAGCTGCTGTGTCAAGGCTTTTCTGTTACTGCTTTTAGTGTGTAAAGAGTTACCACAGAGCTGGTTTTCCTTCTGAGGCATTCCTGATAGTAACTAGTTTATGCCTTAAAGGCTAATAACCTCTTTATTTTACCTTAATCAAAAACATACCTAGGTTGTATGATAACACATAAGCCTTGTATATTATCACTCTACTATAGAGATATCTGTATTTCTCTAAGGCAGCCATACCTGTTAATTCAGCCTTTTCATACACTATATCTGAGCCACCTGCCCCATCCCTTCTAACTTTTTTTCCTTCTGATTCAGGTGATGCTAATTCTTGGCACTGTACTCGTGGTTATATTATTACCTATGCTTTTGTAGTTTCTTTAGTTTTAATATATAAATCTAATTTTGAAATAATAACTTATCACACTTTTCTTCAACAACGCTTTGGTAAATGTTGCTCTTCATGTATTTGAACAGGTGAACATGATAAAAGATGATGGAACAGTTATTCACTTCAACAACCCCAAGGTTCAGGCATCCCTCTCTGCTAACACTTTTGCAATTACTGGTCATGCAGAGGCTAAACCGATCACAGAGATGCTTCCAGGCATCTTAAGCCAGCTTGGTGCTGACAGCTTAACAAGCCTCAGGAAGTTAGCTGAACAATTCCCAAGACAAGGTAGGTCTTAGTGGAATCTTTCACTGATGATCAAAAGAGAAAATGCGGTCTTAAAATATTGACCCAAATTTAATAGCACGTCACTTAAAAATGTGTTTACTTGTATTACCTCTGTTGTGGAAATACAATGGAAGGAAACATCTATTTATTTTTTTTCCCCAAGATTCTACATAGGCTGACCTTGGCTTAAAAATAAGACTTAAAAAAGAAATCTGCTCAGTCAGGTGTGCAGTAACTCCATGTGCACAGCTGTGTGTGACAGAATAGTTAAGAAAAACAAGTAGAAGTTCTTACCTAGAAAATCAACAGGTTTTGTTTGTCA